AGGGTCCTGGGATCGAGCCCCGCATCGGGCTCCCTGCTCAGCGGAGAGCCTGCTTCTCCCTCTCCCACTCCCCCTGCTTGTGTTCCCTCTCTCGCAGTCTCTCTCTCTGTCAAATAAATAAAATCTTAAAAAAAATGTATTTCTAAAAAAAAAAAAAAAAAAACTGCCATTAAGCAGAGACCTGAAGGAGAGGGAGTGAGACACTTGAAAATCTAAGGGAAGAGCATTCCAGAGGAAACAGACAGTGCAAAGGCCCTGAGGCAGCATGTCTAGTTTGTTTGAGGAAGCAAGGAGGCCAGTGTAGCTGGAATGCAGTGAAGGAGGGAAGAGTCATAAAAGACGAGATCAGAGATGTAATGAGGACCAGACTGTATAGAACCTTGTGGGCAACCAGAAGGACTATGGCTTTTACTCTGAGCAAGACAGGAAGCCATTGGAGAATTTTAAGCAGGAGATGCAGTAACTAAAAAAAAGAGGTCTGAGGACTGAAGTCTAGTGGACTGCAAGTTTCAGGTTACAAATAAAGAAGACCTATAAAAGAATCTCAAGAAGAGAGGATAAGTGGAATAGAAAGGGTGGAGAGAAGGAAAATTAGGAAATTAGTGTTCTGGAAGGTCTGCAAGGTGGTTACAATAATGAAAGTGTGTTGAGTGCTGCAGATGGGGTGGGACAGGTCAGTGTTAACCTTGACAAGAGCAGTTTCAGAGGATCACTGGGGATGTGAACCTAACTGGAGTGGGTTCAAGAGATCACCAGAGAAGGGAAATGAAAATAAACCATTTTATTGAGGCATTTAACTATGAAAGATGGCAGACAAATGGCTTGGTAAATGGGGAGGGGTGAGGATTCAAGAGGACTATGGTGGATGTTGCAGTGAACGACCCAGATCTCAACTTTAGGACCAAGGTCCTCATTCCCCCAGCAGCTGTGAGTTTTGGCTGCTAACAGCGCAAAGCTGCACTGGTTTACATACTGTCTATGGCTGCCTTCACACTGCAAGAAGAGCTGACAGAGCACAGAGCTCACAATGTCTAAAATATTTACCATTTGACCTTTAACAGAAGGTTAAAAGGTCTAGCTGATTTCCTTTCTGTCCTATCTCCAACACTCTCTGATGCCTGATCTTATAGGTAAAGAGATATGCTTAGTCAAGCAAAGGAGGGGGGGAAAGTTCACATTCCTTTTTTTTTTTTTTAAACATTTTATTTATTTGTCAGGGAGAGAGAGCACAAGCAGAGGGAGCGGCAGGCAGAGCAAGCAGAGGGAGAAGCAGGCTCCCTGCCGACCAAGGAGCCTGATGCAGGGCTCGATCCCAGGACCCTGGGATCATGACCTGAGCTGAAGGCAGACACCCAACTGACTGAGCCACCCAAGCATCCCTAAAAGTTCACATTCCTACACTCGTTCTTCCTTCCAAATCTAGGCCCAAGTTTACCCACCTGTAAACTACTGAACACATTGTAACTGAAATGCTAACTTACTCCTCAGAAGAACTTCAAAGAGCAATGATTAAGCAGTTTAAAAATGAAACTCAGCAGTAGCAGGAAGAACACTACCCTAATTGAGGAGCAAAATTCTAAGATCGTATCCCTCTACAAAACCTGTGTGTGGATCAACATTTTCTCAATTATCCATATTTCTTTCTATGATCCATTTTAAGTTTTTTTTTTAAAGATTTTATTTATTTATTTGACACAGAGAGACACAGAAAGAGAGGGAACACAAGCAGGGGGAGTGGGAGAGGGAGAGGGAGAAGCAGGCTTCCCGCTGAGCAGGGAGCCCAATGCGGGGCTCGATCCCAGGACCCTGGGATCACGACCTGAGCCGAAGGCAGACGCTTAACGACTGAGCCACCCAGGCGCCCCTCCATTTTAAGTTTATAAAACTCAAGTCTGCTATGGTTCTTTACTATTTCACATTACACATTCAAACCAAATATATACATGTGGCCAAATGTTTTCTGATGTACTGTCTCCAAACTGTTTATTACAAGTATTAGACACCACCCCCCCACCGGAGTTTATGGCCTGATATTTAAAAAGTCAGCAATAAAAACCGCACCATCACATTTTCCCTTATTCTAGCCTGAACATATGCTGGAATCCAGGGTGACAACCATACATCCCAAGGAAAGCACTTAAGGATAGGATACAATAAATAAACGTTAAAAGCCCCTAAACCTTGGACAGCTACTATTTATTAGCTACCGGATCTTCCAGAGTCTCAAACTCATCTGTAAAATTAACAGTTATTAGACAGTGAATTTAAATGTTTGCTAATGTTGAAGTTTGTATACAATTAGAATATAAACATGCTATCTCACAATATCTGAAAATAAGAATGAAACCTACTAATGCAGGGGCTGCTAGTACAAATCACTTCTAATCACCTTATACCAAACACCAACCATTAACAATAAATAGCATTTACCAAATGTCAGACACTGTGCTCGTGGCTCCACTTGCATTCTCTTACTTTATCCTTACACACTTTGAAGCAGACAGATGCTCCCACTACGCTAATTTTACAGGTGAAAAAATGAGATATAGAGGTTCAGTTGCTAAAAGTCATCCATCTTCTACGTGTTGGAATCAGGATATAAAATCAAGTCTGCTTGTCTTCAGAGCCAGTGATCGTGACCGTGGTGCTGTCTACCACACCTCCGTAGGTCAGGAATGCATATAAATTACCAACATGAAACACAGCATCACAGGGTAAAAATACATGCTCTTTGGGTAAAGATGGTACATGGAGCACATGCAGCTACTTCCACTGCCTCCTGAAATTCCACTGAACGACAGCAAAGATTTTCATTTTAAGGCATAAATCTAAAAGAATGGGAAGAGAGGAGACAATAGCAGCAAAGAGCTAGAAGTTGGAAAGCCGATGGACAAGTAGTAAATAACATGGTAGCCCCAGAGAAAATTGAATCCTGAGTCAGCAGTAGAAAAGCAAAACAAACAACCCAACTTACATCAGAGAATCCCTAAAAGGTTCAGGAGCTGGTGCTTTCCTCTACCTTTGGAAGTAGGAGTGAAGGGGTAGACACTAAAATAAGGACTGGTTGAAGGTTTAAGTATTCAGAATGCTCTCTGCAACCCTACGTAGCTAAGCAGCCTCTATTGCCCAGCTCCTTCCCCAAATTATAAGTTTATTTTCTAAAAAGGGTAAAATAGAGGGTTCTCTGGATTGTGGGATGCTAGGCAGTTATGGGCAGAGGGACTGTACTCAATACACAGACTCAAATGCATACTGGTCATGAGATAAAGAAAACAAGATACAGGGGGGAAAAAAAAAGATATCCAACATGAGAGAAGAGGAAAAGGAATTCCCAGGATTGCAGTGAAGGGAGATCCCAGAATACAGCCTGTATCAGGCACAGCAGACCACAGTCCAGACTGGGACAGGTCCGAAAGCTCCAGGAAAGACTTATTTGGAAGATGAAACAGCATGCCTAGTGAAACTGAACATTGTGATTAATTTAGATATATGGCAAAGAGTCTAGTTGATTTCGTGGTAAGTTTACAGAAAATGAAGCCTAGGAAAAGAAAACAAATAGCATTTATAGATTCCCAGCATCAAACAGTAATGTTGCCTTTCACAAAGACTACTTAATAAAATGATGTCACTTTATCAGCATCAGCAAATCCTTCAGTCCAAAACAAGAGGAACTCAATTTAATGTAGTTTATAATAATTACAATATTACAGAGGTCTGCAGCAAAAAGTAGGTTAAGAGAAATAAAATCCTGATTTTTTTCTTAGTTGCTACTTTAAAAATACAGACTGAACGTCCTGTGCTTAAGTGTTGTTGTGGCTGTGTGCTGGCTTCTGTAAAACTAACTAATCACAAGGAACTCTTCAACATATATACTCCGGACCAAAGTGAAAGGTAAACAGAAATGACTAACAAGACAGTGCTATTGTAGACATAATTCCCTTATAATTAATACTTGCCAGAAAATGGAGTTTGACATTACTTACAATTATATCAACATTCACAGAGGCTGAACATCACAGGCATATGGGTGTATTATCACCCAAGATGTCTTTACTTCCCAAGTAGTTTTAAATTTTAGCTATTAAGGTCAGTTACCAGAGCCAAACTTGTTCTTAACAAGTAGAATTTTTATGTCCATTCAATCAAAGAGTCTCTTACATCTTTCTGGGCCTGTTCATTTGCAGATAGGAGTAGAAATTGTAACTGGGTTCCTCATATCATGCATTCACATGTGATGCCCATCTTCATATGCTGTCCAATTTCTTTAGGATAAAAGGTGCTGAAAGAAAAATAAACAAACCCAGAATTTCAGATCTATTAGCCCACAAGTTACATTATGGAATTTATAAGACTGGGGGAAAAATCTTACAGATTTAGTTCACTACATTTTTTAAATGACTCCAAATAATGGCCAAGCCCCTGCCTGCATAACCTAGCAAAGGAGACTCACTGTCTTTCCAGTGTCATGAAGCTCTGACTATTCTAAGGTTCATTCTTACACCATATAAAATCTTTTCTCCAGGTAGTTCTCTTAGGACCATAAAGAGTAAATTCAATCCAAAAAAAAAAGTAAATTCAATCCTCCTTCAAAAGACCATCTTTTTACCTTGGGTGTTTTAATTGTCAAAGGAACAAAATGCTAGGAGAAACAAATTGGCATTTTTCACCCTTTAAAACATATTTGAGGGGCACCTGGGTGGCTCAGTTGGTAGAGCATCCAACTCTTGAGCTCAGGTCATGATCTCAGGGTCATAAGATCAAGCCCTGCATCATGCTCCCTGCTCAGCAGAGTCTGTTTGGGATTCTCTCTCTCCCTCTCCCTCTGCCCCCTCCCCCCACTGTCTCTCAAATAAATAATAAAAAAATAAAACATTTGAAAAAAGGCAGAGGGTGGGAGAAAACAACACTGCACTGGGGAAGCAGAAGAGCTAGACGCAGATTTTGGTTCTCCCACTGATTAGCTATATATCACTTATGTAATCCAAATCACATATAATGTAGTCCTATTTCAGTTCTTATGAGGGTCTGGTAGGAGGGTACGAATAGAAATAGCTAGAAAACAAAAATATTGTCACAGGGATCAAACGAAGTGTTACTACTGTCCTGTGTAAAAGCGCTGTGGTCAAAATAAGCACATGAAAAGATGTTTAACATTACTAATCACTAGGACAATGCAAATTAAAACTATAATGAGATACCACCTAACACCCATTAGGATAGCTACTATCAAACTGTTGGGAAGGATGTGGAAAAACTGGAACCCTTGTGTACTGTGGGTGGGAATGTAAAATTGTACACCTGCTATGGATCACAGTATGGTGGGTCCTCAAAATATACAAAATAGAGATACCTGCATATCCATGTTATAGCAGCATTATCCACAGTAGCTAAAATGTAGACGCAATCCAGATCCAAAGATGGATGAATGGATAAGCAAAATGTGGTATACGATGGAATATTATTCGGCCTTAAAAGGGAAGGAGATTCTGACATATGCTATGACATGGATGAACCTTAGGACCCTATGCAAACTGAAATAAGCCAGTTACAAAAAGACAAATACTGTATGGTTCCAATTATATGAGAGCCTTAAGAGATGTCAAAATCATAGAGAAAGTTTCAGTTTTACAAGATAAAGAGTTCTGGAGATGGATGGTGGTGATGGTTGTACAACACTATGAGTGTATTTAATACCGCTAAACTGTACACTTAAAAATAGTTAAGATAAATTGTTGTATGTATTTTACCACAATTTAAAAAATTAGAAAATAAAAAGGGCTGTGAGCAAAAAAGCTGCCAGAAGGATCTTCTTTCTCAATACCCATACTAAAGTAATAGAACATATTGTTAACATTAAGCTGAAGATACTGAGATCTGCTGAAAGCTGATGAAGTCGGCAGTATGTCCAGATATTTCTAATTCTTATCAGATTAAAAAAGGTAAGTAACATCCATCGAATGAATGGATAAACAAAATGTGGCATATCCACACAATGGAATGTTACCTGGCAGTAAAAAGGAAGGAAAGGGGCGCCTGGGTGGCTCAGTCGGTTAAGCGTCTGCCTTCGGCTCAGGTCATGATCCCAGGATCCTGGGATTGAGCCCCACATCAGGCTCCCTGCTCAGCGGGAAGCCTGCTTCTCCCTCTCCCACTCCCCCTGCTTGTGTTCCTGCTCTCACTGTCTCTCTCTGTCAAATAAATAAATAAAATCTTAAAAAAAAAAAAAATAAAAAGGAAATACTAACACATGCTATAATACGAACCTTGAAAACACTATGGAAAGTGAAATAAGCTAGACACAAAAGGTCATATATTCTATAATTCCATTTATATGAAATGTCCAGAATAGGCAAATCCATAAAGAAAAAGTAGATTAGTGGTTGCCAAGGGAACATGAAGGGGTAAAATGGGGAATGACAGCTAATGGGCATGGTGTCCACTTTAGAGGTAAAGAAAATGTTCTAAAATGCATAACTCTATGTTAAGAACCACTAAATTACATAACCTTCATTTTTTAAAGTTTTTTTTAACTTTATTTTTTACAGATTTTATTTACTTATTTGACAGAGAGAGACACAGCGAGAGAGGGAACACAAGCAGGGGGAGTGGTAGAGGGAGAAGCAGGCTTCCCGCTGAGCAGGGAGCCCGATGTGGGGCGCGATCCCAGGACCCTGGGATCATGACCTGAGCCAAAGACAGACGCTTAATGACTGAGACACCCAGGCGCCCCAAGTTTTTCTTAAAGTATAACTGACATACAGTATCCCACTAGTTTCCGGTGTATGGTCATAGTGATTCAGTATTTTTATATATCATGAAATGATCCGCACAATAAGTCTAGCTACCATATAAAGTTACTACAGTATTGTCTATATTCTCTATGCTGTACATTGCACCCTTATGACTTACTTCTTTTGTAACTGGAAGTCTGTACCTTTTAAGCCCCTTCCCCTATTTCATCTACCCCTACTCTACTCCCCACTGGCAATCAACAGTCTGTTGTCTGTATTTATCAGTCCGTTTCTGTTTTGTTTTTAAAGATTCCACATATAAGTGGAATCATATGGTATTCATCTCTCTCTGACTTATTTCACTTAGCCTAATAGCCTATAGGTCCATCCATGTTGTTGCAAATGGCCAAGATTTTTACGTCTAAGTAATATTCCATTGTATATACACGCATCTTCTTTGTCCATTTATCAATAGACACTTAGGTTGAACCATATACTTTAAATGGGTGAACTGTATACTATGTGAATTATATCTCCATTTTAAAAGTGGTAATGTGGAACAGTATTCTGTGTTTTTTTAAGGAAACCAATTCATATCAGATACAAAGGTCACTGAAAAGAAGCAAATATTTTACTGGCAGCTAAGTCAACAAAAAAGGTAAGAGGATAAAATAAGTTGGGAGTTGCAAAAAGCTGTTGAAGGAGCAGGATTTGTGTTTCTGTTCAGTAGGGCTCCCTCTCCTGGGGAAGCAGGGTAATACCATAGTCAGTGATGGGGTACCAGGCTTCAGTGAGCTCTGGCCTAGGCCCAATCTGAGCCTTCTACAGGATAACCTTGGTATGGCCTTCATTTATTTTAATCATTCCTGCCTCTCCACCCAGACCTGTCAGCAATACACAGCAAGGTGCAATGAAAGAGTACTGAACTGAGAATTGGAGGGTGGGGACAAATCACTTCTGAGATTCACATCAGTAAAACTAGAGAAGTGATCTACAAAGCTGCACCCATCTCTAACATTCAGTGTGTCTTTAACTCTGATATTTTGTGTTAAGACCCCCTTTGAAAGGTGAGTTCTCATTTGCAAAAGGGATATACAGAATGTTAAGCCCGGCCTCCCTCAAAGCGCTACTGTCAAGACAGCTAACGCAAATAAGCTTCTGCCAAACGTAAATTCAAATAAACCTTCAGGTGTTGTTATTAATCCTATAGACTCCTACTCTTTTCTTCTCCTTCCTTCAAAAAAAAACACCAATTCTTTACTTCACCTTCTGTACAAATAAGCAAAAGAAGCAAACCTTTTTGTATTTTAGAGATCAGCACCGAAGGAAGGAAACTTGATATTAAGAGCTCTGGATTCTAGATCAAGATCATGCACTGAATCGCTGAGTGACCTTGAGCCAGCCATTTCTCTACTCTCTAAGTTTCTGTCGGCAAAACAAGGGAGCTGCTCGGTAGGGGAGCGGAGGGGAGGGGGAATAAACCCTCGAGGCTCTTTCAATTAAAACGCTCTTAAGGCAGGGCGAGGCGGGATGATCACCCTCGCACTCCAGGCCACCGCGTGTACTTCTGACCCCGACCCGCAGACCCTAAGCCGCGCCTGCGCCCGCTGATCTCGACCCACATGTCCCACCCTTCCCGCGACCACTCAGCTAGCTCAGCTCGCAGGCCCCCAGAGAACCAGAGTTGGGTGGGTGGTGTCCGCGAGCTCCCCGCGGGTCTCATGGCCGCAGCCTGGAAGGACACTCACTGACTCGCAGCAGGGCCACGTAGATGAGGAAGTTCCGTATGGACGAGATCACATCCTCGCGCATCTTCCGTTTCATCTCCTCCGGGTCCAGCTTCGGCGCAAGGCCCTCGATCCGGAACATGGCTTTGCCTCCCCGGCTTCCAGCTGCCACGCTCCGCTCTCTTCAGAGGCCGCCCGGCGCCCGGAACTCGGCCCCATCCCATTTCCTGTTCCCGCCCCTCGTTCTCGCGCGCGGCGACGGGAGCTGCGAGGGACAATCCTCATCCGGCCCGAGGGGTTCTGCAGGGGGCTGCCTGAAGAGGGCGTCGTAGTCTCAGCCACGCGGGACTCCGGTTCCCCCCGGCTGTTGAGGAAGCTCTGTCTTGAGCCGCGCGCGCTGCGCTGCAAAATGCTTTTATGCCTCAGAGGGGACAATGCACGTAGATACCACCATAAATAACAACAGCTACAGTTCTACGCCATGAATTAGATATTAAAACCTTCATTTCCTAGGTGAGAAAATTGAAGCACAGAGAGCTTTAAAACAACTTGCCCAAATATACTTTAAAGTACCTTAGGGGGAAAAAGTGTTGAGGAAGGGAGATGAAACGGTATTAGCAAAATGTTGAAAATTGCTTAAACTGGTGATTAATATATCATTTTAATTATTCTAGTCTTTCTATTTTGAGCATGTTTGAATATTTTCATAAGTTAAAACAAAAAGATGAAGATGATGAAACTTGCTTGTGTTTACACAACTAGTAAATGCAGTAGGTTTTTTTTTTTAAATGTTATTGTCATCCCCATTTTATTTTAAATATACAAATATATTTTATATATAATAAAAATATATTTTTATATATAATAAATATAAATAATAAAATAAATATATATAAAAATATAAATATATAATATATATAAATAAATATAAATATATATAAATATAAATAAATATAAAATAAATATAAAAATATATTTGTATATTATATACATATATTTAAATAAGCTCTATGCCCTACCTGGGGCTTGAACTCAGGACCCTGAGATCAAGAGTCACATGCTGTACTGAGCCAGGCAGGCACCTCTGCAGTAGGGTTTTGTATTTAGATTTGTGGGATCCAGCCAAAAGTTTTTAACTCCATATTATTACTGTATTCTCATTTCTGGCGTTAACTGATCCATACAGATTGGCCCAGTAATACAGCATATAAAAACAAGTTCAGCTCCTTTCAACATTTTACAGGTGAGGAGGGGGGCTGAGAAACCAAGTGCACTGCTTACAGTCATTCTGCTAGTGATGGGCAGAGGCAGGGTTCTAATGCAGATTGTAATGCCAAGTTGCACTCTCTTTTCCCTGCACCCCACTACTCCTCTGTTAGTCTTTAACTATTAGTGCCTGCCTGGGTGGGCATCACTGGAGGCAGGAGGTAGAGGTTTAGTGCAATCAGATTTCCTGTCACAAAATCATCAAAACAGTGCAGCCCCAAATTTTGCATGCCACCTAGCCATATTTAATTTTTAGACACAAACCAGATGACTGAATTGCTCACATAATTCAAAACCAGAATGTGCCTGGGTGTCTGGGTGGCTCAGTCAGTTAAATGTCCAACTGTTGATTTTGGCTCAGATCATGATTTCAAGGTTGTTAGATGGAGCTCCGCCTTGAGCTCCGCGCTGGGCATGGAGCCTGCTTGGGATTCTCTCTCTCTCTCCCTTCTCCTCTACCCCTCCCCCCTCTCTCCCCCTCTCTAAAAAATAAGAAGCAAAACCCAGAATGTGCCTTCTTGACTGCACATTGCTTAGCAACAGTGGATTTTGGATAAGTTAGAGCAGTAAATTACTGCAATAACTGATAACTAAAGCATTGCTGCCCACCTTGATTGACAGAATGTAGGACATTGGGGCAAGAAAGAGAACTCATCTGCGTATTCAGGCTTTGGTAACCTCTTCTATCTACAATTCATGCAGTGGAATAGTAGAGGCAGCTCTGGAATGAAAGGGGCTGCGCCCAAGGAGCATCCTCCATCCAACACTTTGAGAGTGTTTAGAAAGCTTGCACTGATGCTGGAAAGCAGCAGGGGCTGTGGAAAGAACCTGGACGGGAAGCCTGGAGACATGGCCTCCAGATTTAGCACTGCCACCATCGAGCCATGTGACCAGGGACACATCTCTGTTTCATGCAACTCCATTTCTTTAGTTGTAAAGGGAGAAGATATGATTAAATGCTCCTGAGAGTCCTGTTCAACTCTAACAGTCTAAGCATTTTGAATTCTAATCGTGTCATCTAGGGCATTCTGGTCTGGAGTGTATGGATGTCAAAATATGATCAAATGTGGTCAGACATCAAAACAAACAGTGTGTAGCCAGCAGTAGGAAGAATGTAACAATAAGGCACATTTCATCCATCTGAATAGTGAGGCAAAATGAGCTGGCAAGGAATGAGTTCTTATGTGATTTCAGTAACTAAGATCCCTGAGGCTGACTAAGTTTAGATAAACAGTTCTCATATAGAACTACCACATTTTCTTTACTGAGATGCTTTTGAGTAACTTGCCTGGATTCACAGGGAACCAAAGAGGGGAGAGATTAGGGAAAAAATCATGTATCTTGGTAAAAAGATCCAATTTTTAGCATTTGGATTTTATTCATCCAGTGCTGTATAAAGCAGCACCTGTTGACTGGACAGGTGATGTGGTGGCAGATAACTGACCTGTTAAAGGGCAACATGATTCTCATAACAGTTATCTTAGAAAGGTATGGTGCTTGCCAGCCTACCTGTAGAGAGACAGGAAAGTAGTGAGGAACTGGTTCTGGATATAATCTGGGAGGGTGAACTGTTTCTGTTTCAGAAATGTTCATCCTGGTCAACTCTATCCTCCCCTTGCCTGGCTCCTCCACCTGTAATGGAGGAAACTCATTAAAAGAGCTTAGGCTCCTTTGTCCTTTTTGGGTGCCCCTCCTTTTATGGCCTGTAGGTGGTGGTATTGCCCAGTGACCCTCCGTTTAGGCGCGGCAAAGGGAGCTCACACACTTCCGGAAATTAGCACTGGAGTGAGCTGTGCCGCAGGGTGGACTCTATTTTTTTCCTCATTGGAATGATGAAGGGGTTGGGTCTAATCTTTAAAATGACTTGCAGCTCAAAAATGTTGAAAATATGTGTTCATCTTTCCTGTTCTTCCTTCATCACTTTGCTAAAAGGCTAAACGCAAAGGATTCCCTATGGTTGTGCCATGAAAGACAAAAATGAAAAGTATGCACACATAATTTAATATTGATATTTGTAGTCTGATCATAGAGGAAATGGTAGCTGATGTCATAGCCTGTCTTGTTTTCCATTTTGATCCCAGGAGGGATTTAGGAGCTATTTCCTTTGCCTCGATTTCCCGGACAGTATTGCACACAAACGTTCAGTGAGCACAATTTACCCATAAGAGAATTAAGTGTTTTAATCCCATCATTGAGGAGGAATTTGTATTTACAGGGTCAGAGATTGACAGATGATTCATGATTGGGGAATAATTCTGACATAAAATCACAGGAACCTTGTGGTTTTTAATGTATTGGGAGCTTAGGCTTTGGGTATTGAACAGTTCAACCCCTTCACTTGACAGATGAAGAACAGAGGGAATCTAGAGGTATAGCTAGTTGGGACTAAGGTAGGTCTCTGGGCTCCCAGTCCAGCACTTTCCCACCATGATCTTGCAGATTTCAATACTTTGTGATTATTCTCATTGATGATCCTCCCCTCAGAGGTAGGATTGGAAGAATGGGGTGTTGTTTAACCTCAGCTTGGGAGGGACAGGATAGAGGGTGGCTGCTACTCATCAAGAGGCTGATGGCAGTCCTTCTTTCCATGTTTCCACCCCCATCAGCAGTAATTAATCTGGGCGGTGTTATTAGACAACTCCACGTGTCTTCTTCCTCATTTCTTCAGGAGATGAACATGGTCTGGTGTTCCCAAAATCAGCTTCGTTTTGAAGTCCCTTCAGGACCCACCATGAATGAAACAAAGGTTAGGGATAAGGGAAGGACTGCTCTGTGATAGATGTTAACCAGAGTCCTCACCGAGCAGATGGGATAGCTTACTTCTAGAAATTACTGCCCAGCAAGAGTAAGTCCTTTTGGACTTTAAAAGGTGAGTAGAATTTTGATAACCTTCACTTCACTGGCATTTGCTTTCTATAATACCCTATTCCCTGTTCTAATTTTTAGGGCTTTGTTGTCTGGATGATTCATGAGTGTTTGATCTTTCATAGTAAACTGGAAGCACCTCAAGTACAAGAAACACACACTTTTCCTGGGATCGAGCCCCGCATCGGGCTCCCTGCTCCATGGGAAGCCTGCTTCTCCCTCTCCCACTCCCCCTGCTTGTGTTCCCTCTCTCGCTGTCATCCTCAACACTTCCCACATTAAAAAAAAAAAAAAAAGGAAACACACACTTTAATCCTCCAAACAACGGGATAGGTATTTATACACTGTAAAAACTCAGAAAGTACCCCCTGAGTGGATGAACGGATGAACTTCATATCTGCTAACCTTTAGAATTAAAGAATTGGTAGCTTTTCATATCACATTGAAAGGAAATTGTCCTCCAAAGAAATTTGCCCCAAATCCTACATAATATTTTTATGTAGTGATTTATTTTTCCCTGTTTTTGTACAACTTGTCTTTGTTTGCCTAAATAAAAATCATTAAATAATGATTTTAAAATGTTAAATAATTTTTACATATCATAGGCAAAATTAAAGAACTTTAAAATTTACTTGCTTTATTTATAGCAATGTAATTACATGAAACCACACATATAACATAATACAAACTATAATATATATTATAATATAACCATATTATACTTTTAATAACTTTTGTCACAAAAGTACATGTTTATTTGTATATAATTTAGAAAATAAATCATTTTTTTATTTTTTAAAGATTTCATTTATTTATTTGACAGAGAGAGAGAGACAGCGAGAGAGGAAACACAAGCAGGGGGAGTGGGAGAAGGAGAAGCAGGCTTCCTGTTGAGCAGGGAGCCCGATGCGGGGCTTGATCCCAGGACCCTGGGATCATGACCTGAGCCGAAGGCAGACGCTTAACTAACTAAGCCACCTAGGTGCCCCGAAAATAAATACTTTTTTTAAAAGATTTATTTTTATTATTTATTTGAGAGAGAGAGAGAGAGCACAAGTGGGAGGGGTAGAGGGAGAGGGAGAAAGAATCTCAAGCAGAC